TTCACTATGTATAAGACAGTGAGTTTCTTTTTTATTTATCCTGCTTAGGATTTGTTAGATTCTTAAATGTATGATTTAATGTGTTTCATCAATTCTGGAAATTTTTGAGCCATTTTTTCCCAAATGTTGCTTATGTCCATTCTTTCCTTTCCTTATGGACTCTTCTTAGACCTTTTCATTGTGACATCCGTGTTTCTTACCCGCTCCTCTGCGTTTTCTTTCTCTTTACTCCCATTACGCATCATTGTGGGTATTTTCTTCTGGCCTGTATATTCCAGTTCATTAATTTTCTTTTTTTTATAGGTAATTTTTTTTTTATTTAAAAGATTTTATTTGAGAGAGAGAGAGAGAGAGAGAAACAGCATGAGAGGGGAGAGGGTCAGAGGGAGAAGCAGGCTCCCCACTGAGCCGGGAGCCCGATGCAGGACTCGATCCCAGGACTCCGGGATCATGACCTGAGCCGAAGGCAGTCGCTTAACCAACTGAGCCACCCAGGCGCCCCTAGATAATTTTTTTTTTAAAGATTTTATTTATTTATTTGACACAGAGAGAGAACAAGTAGGCAAGAGAGGCAGGCAGAGGCAGAGGGAGAGGCAGGCTCCCCGTGGAGCAGGAGCCCGACGCGGGACTCGATCCCAGGAGCCCGGGGTCATGACCTGAGCCGAAGGCAGACGCTTAACCGGCTGAGCCACCCAGGCGCCCCTGGTTCATTAATTTTCATTAATTTTCTCTTCTGTTATTTCTAATTTGCTGATAAAACTCTCAGTTCTCAATTTTGGTTATTGTGTTTTAAGTTCCAGAATTTAAATTTTTTTCCCATTGAACATTTACAATATCATTTTTAAAAATTTCTATTCCCAACCAAATTTTCCATTTTTGGCTTGTGTTCCTTGAACATAACAAGCATAATTGTTTTATAATCTATGCTGATCATTTCAGTACTGGAGACCCTGTTAGTCTATTTCTATTACCTATTGTACCTACTGTTCTTATTTGTGCTGTCTGATATCCTTGGATTATGTTTGTGTACTGGATATTGTTTTAGAAAATTATTTATAGAAATACCCTGACGTTCAAGATAATATTGTCTTCCTCTAAAGAGAACTTATTCTTTTGCCAGCTCTTGAGGGCACTAGCAGTGGGAACCACCTGGCTTTGAAATTTCCACCCCAGCCCCTGGAGCCTGCCAGAATTGCAGCTCAGCCTTTTCCAGAACAAAGCCCCAAGGCATAGGCCGCCTTCAGAGCAGGCTTCACTTCTCCACTTTCCCATGTCTTCAGTATCTCAGCATCTCATTTCAGCAGTTCCTCAAATCTTGTTACTTCTCTGATTCTTTTAAGATGACTTTTATAAGTTTGTTTTTATTGGTATGAAGGTTTATTTATTATCTAGGAGTCCATATCCAGAATTGGAGGACCCTTTGATTCTCATTTGAAGGATCTAATAGGCAGCAATATCTTCAGGAGAGGTAGGGTCCTCACTGTGCTGTGGGATCAATCCTGATTGGTCTTTGTCAATCATGGTAACCCCTTCTCTCTATGCCTAAGGTGGGCATATGACCCACTTTCGGGAGAAAAGACACAAGAGGAAAACTCCTGGGAATTTGTGGATGAATTTTTGTGCCCATTTGAAAGAGAGCTGCTTGGGAACTAGAGCCCTTTCTCTTCTTTGTCCTCTAAGAAGATGTTAGGTAAGGAAATCACACTTGAATCTTTGGCAACCCTCTTACAACTAAAGGAAAAACCAAGAAAATTGTAGGGATATCAACTCATGGCTCTTGATATTGTTGAGCCACCTAAAAGCCCTGGAACTCTTTGCTTCCAGGCTTCTTGAGGAAATAATAAACATCCTTATGGTTTCACTGTTGGTCAGATTTTCTGTTGTGTGCAGCCCAAAGCATTCCAAACTGACATATCATCCTTCGGGACTCAGCTTGAAATGCCACTTCCTCAGGGAGGCCTTCCTGAAACCTCCACATCAACTCATTTGATATAATCTCTACTTTCCTTTTAGTGTCCCTCATCATATTTGTAATTATTTGTGGAATGATAGTCTTTCTCTCTGGGCTCTACACTCCATGGGAACAGAGACTATGGTAGGGTCCTAGAGCCCATCCCAGTGCCAGGCATGGTAGCCTCTAAATCAGTAATTATTCAAATAAACAAAAGAAAGGGTCAAGAGCCCAAGTAGAGGGAGATACTGGATAAAAGTCCTGGTGGATATGAATTAAAATTTGTGCAGTTGTGCCTCTAACACATGAAAACTTTTAAAGCTCAAAGAATCATTACAGAAGGGTTGGAGTGGCCATTGTGAGCATGAGTGTGAATGTTTATCTGGCACAAGTAAGAGCTGCCAAGTTGTGTTAAAGACCCACCTGGGATTAGACCCCATAAATGTGCGTTGGCATAAATCGGCAGAATTATGAGATTTTCTCCAGCAGTGTTCAGCTGACTAGATGTGTGAGACATGTTGGGTAATTAAGTTGATCCAAAGATGGGGACTCTCAAGACAGGCTGCTTTCTTTCTTTTTTTAAAAGATTTTATTTATTTATATGAGAGAGAGAGAGAGAGAGCACAAGCGGGGGGAGGTGGAGGAGCAGAGGGGGAAGGAGAAGCAGGCTCTCCACCGAGCAGGGAGCCCAACTCAGGGCTCCATCCCAGGCCCCCGGGATCATGACCTGAGCCGAAGGCAGACGCTTAACCGACTGAGCCACCCAGGCGCCGTGGACAGCCTGCTTTCTGTTCTGTTTTCTAGTGAAGTAAATAAAAGTAGCTATGGAATTTTATTTCCACTCTCAATAAAGTAAATCTCTTAGAATTCAAAGTCTTTTGACTTTTTGTTGACCTTTTGTTCCAGACTGGAGAATATCCCCTGGCTGAAACACTCACCCCAGAAGTCTTCCCCCATCACCCACTTGCCGTGGAAAGGCTTGAGGGGGTGTCTGAATTTCCTAAGGGGTGTCGGTGTGTGTGCATGTTTTTCTGGGGAGAGTGTCCAGAAAGGCAAGAAGCACTGACTTGGGGTTGGCTCCTAGCCGTGGAGCACTGTGTGGGTCAGGGCTCGATGGAGAGGGAGTCATGGCCCTGCTTGTTGACAAGAGGCGGCGGCACAGTGGGAGGTGCGCAGACTCTAGGGACAGAGGTATAGGCTACGCCACGTAGCTCTTGAGTTTTCTCCTCCATAAAATGGAAATGATAATCACAGTTCCTCACCTCAGAGGGCTGATACTAAGATTAAATGAGTTAATACATACAAATGCTTAGGGCCATGTCTCACACTTCGTAAGGGCTGATTTTTATTATAGCTAATTGTTAGTGATGCATCGGGATGCACATCATGGCCAAAGACATGGAATCAGGAGCAGCAACTGAGGGTGCACGGTTGTTGCTGATGTTGTGCGAAGCACACAATCTAAGCATTCTCTCCCCTCCAGCACTTAGGGCAAATTCCTTAACTGGCCTGTATGTCTGGGATCTCACCTGCTATGGAGATGATAATAGTAACTAGCTCACAGGACTGTGGTAGGGGTTCTAGGCAGGCTCAGAGCAGTGACTCCAACTCAGTAGATGATAGTATTGTTTTGTTTTGTTTTAATTTTTAAGTAGGCTCCAACGTGGGGCTTGAACTCACAACCCTGAGATTAAGGGTCACATGCTCTATGACTGAGCCAGCCGGGTGCCCCTCTGCTGCCTAGGTACGTTCAGTCTCCTCATTTTGATGAGAGAGGCCCCTTCCAGGCGATTCCCACAGCCTTCCCTCATGCCGAAACCTTCACAACTCACCCAGCACCTTCATGCTCACCATGTCCGCCTCCTAGCGGCCCTAAGCAGAGAGGAAGTGACTAACCTAGGCCCCTCCACCTGTCCCCTGCCTCACCGTATTCCCTTCCACGAGTCTTCCCCATCTCTCCTCAGTTCCCATCTGTAGCAAACGCACTCCTGAAACCCCACACCGACTACCAAGCCTTCCCAGCTGAGAATCCCTGTGCCGAACCAGTCCTGCGAGACGTGTGCGTCCCTCCTCCCGGCCAGTCCTGCTCCACTGCCTGCGCCTCTCTCCGTGACTCCGTGCATAGCCAAGCCCTTCGCCAGACAGCTGCTGAATGAAGGAAATCAGGCACGGGATGATTCTACTACCCCAGGATGTGCACATATTGAAGGGAAGGAAGGAGGAGCCACCGAGAGACTGATCTGCGCTGTAGACTAAGACTGAACACACAGGCAGTGGCCAGAGCAGATGGAAAGACAGAGCTCCGACCCAGGTCCTGCAGAAACCTGCCCAGCAAACCAACTCCTCCTCATCAACAAGAAAACACCCAGGCCGTAGGTCACATTTGTAAGAAGACAATCTCTAGTAACAATTCAGAAAAGTGAAACACCAACTTTCTGGAACAATTGGCTCAAAACGGCCAGAACTGACAACTTCCCCAAGTTTTGTCCACATTGCAACTTCGGACCAACCATCGAAAGTCAAATATGTACCCCCAACCAGTCATACAGGACGCCCAGCTTCTAGGTACCTGCCTTACAGCTTCCCCACGCCTACAGCCTCCAGAGAAGGCACATCCGAATCCTTCCCTTTTTCCTGCTATAAATAAAGCTTTCCCGCCCCTCTGCTTGCCCTTGAGTCTCTTTGACAACAAGTGACCAAGGCTGACTGACTCCCTTGCTGTAGCAAGCTTTGAATAAATAGCCTTTGCTCTTCTCTCATTTGGTTGGTCTTGATTTATTTCCCCAAGACCCAGGAACGGCAGCTCAGGGAGCGAGGCTCAGACTATCCTCCGTCAGTACCCTCGCTCCCCCTGGGGTGGAGCTCAAGCCCTCAGACGGCAGAGTTGCTGGCTGATCCACTGGAAATGCTGATCAGACCTTTGGACTCAGCTGAGCCGGAGCTGGAGAAGCCAAATTGACTCAGATTAAATCCCCCAGGCATAAAATCACAAAAGAGTTTTTTGTTAGATGCTAATTGGGAAGGAGGGGCCCCAGAGATCTGGGGAAAGGGTAGGACATCTGGGAATAGAGAAATGAGGGAGAGGCAGGAACTTCGGGCCTCGAACAGGAGCCAGGGATCGTCTGGAGCTGCTTTGGTGGGATGGAGAAGTGAGTCCAGATTCTTATCTAACCTCCACCAAGATCCTTTACTCAGTCCACAGACATTTACTGAGCGCCTAGGGTGTACCAGGCCCAGTTCTGGGTGCTGGAGATGGGAACTCACACCCTAGTGGGGGAAGACAGTAAATGGCTAAAGAAGTAAGATAACTTCAGAGTGGTAAGTGCCCTGAGGACGATGGGATGGGATGTGCCTGGAGAGGACACGCCATGCCCTTAGGAGGGGCAGCTGGGGAGGGCCTCCCGGAGCAATGACCTGGGCGGCTGACACCAGAGAGAACCAGCGGTGCAGCTATCCAGGGAACCGGTTTTCCAGGCAGAGGGAGGCGCTGACGCACAGACCCTGAGTGGAGACCTGGCTCTGACACATTCAATAAGGAACAGAAAGAAGGTCGCTGTGGCCAGAGCTGCGTGGGCAGGGGGTGAGCATGGTGGGATAAGACCAGGAGGGATGTTCAGGGACACGGGGAGTGAAGGGCCTTCCAAGTCATTCTAAGAGTTGAGATTTTATTTTGGTCTCAATAAAATAGGAAGTCACTGAATGGCTGGCTTGCTGAGGCTATTTTGTCAAGGCCTTCGAAGCTCTCCTTTGTTGAAATCTTGCCCAGATCCGGGCAGGTAGGGGGGTGTGTGAATGTGAGGAGACAGTGTTAAGGAGGGGAAATATGGGTCAGACCCAGCTGCTACAAGTCACAACCAGAATCCCTTGCTGAGCAGGAAAAAAGTGGCCATGGAGTAAACCCCTGAAATTATACACTTGTGTGTGTGTGTACCCTATTTTAGGGAGGAACCCAGAGTTTTTCCAGACTCTCAGAGGAGTCTGCCACCAAAAAAGTCCAGAAGAGGAGAATATTGACCTATATGCCTGCATATGCATGTGCCCCCTCAGTAAGGACCTGCGCGAGGGGGGAAGAGGGCAGGGCAGGGCAGGGAACTTCACTGTGTACCACGTGCTTTACCTATTTTTAAAAGTCCACTTCAGTGTAAAGGACCGAAGCTGGAGAGGAACAGATGGGGGTGGGGAAGAAGGTGCCAAAGTCTTGGTGTGGCCCGGGAGGGGCAGAGACACATATGGGCTGATCCTAACTTGACTCCCCCAGCCCTGGCCTGTGCACCCACGCCTCACACACGCTCACACCGACCGACCGACCGTAGGCAGGAGGGCCTCGCCCTGAGCCCGCAGAGGGCTCAGCCGCCCGGTGAGCACCAACTGCATGTCCTGGGAGAGTGAAAGGAACAGGTCCCCTGGAGATGCCCTTTGCTCAGGTCACCAGAGTCCCTGTCCTCCTCCGCCCTTGCCCCAGGCTCCTCGGATCCCCACACCCTCAGAGAGAGAGGCCCCAGGCCTCCTAGGCACCCTGCTGGGCCCCCCCAGGAGCTCTTGGCTCAGATCCGAACACACTTCCGTTCCCTACGCCTTGGTTGGTCAATTTGCTTTGAGTAAAAGTTCCCTGGCTCTGCCTGGGTGATGGAAGCTGAGATGGGGCTGTTTTCTCGAATTCTCTCCAACATCTCAGCTTGGATATGCTTTGCCTCCCCACAAATAGGTCTGGCCGGGCCTTCAGGACCCAGCTGTTCTCAACCATCAGCCAGGGGGTAGGGACCAGCCTCCCCTGGGTATTCTGATCCCCAGTAATCCGGGGCCACGAGTCAGGGAGTGGAGTCAGACGCTGATGACAGGTCACTGGCAGGACGCAGAGCAGGCCGGGGCGTCCTGGTCCACACTTGGGGAGGGTACCAGGGTGGCCCTGTGCAGGTCTGTTAAACCCCAGAGCTCCTCTTCTGCCGTGGAACAATTCAGACCGTTCCATACCTTCCTCCTGAGGCCTTTGGACCACACCGGGAACCAGCACAGCCACTTCCACTTGCAGAGCCAAACAGAATTTTATGGCCCCTTCTTCTAACTCTAGAATAAGTACATAATAATGTCAACCAATATTTGTGGGGAGTCACTGTAGCGGGGCACGATTCAGTGAAAGACTTTATGTGTATCACCTCAAAAATCCCGCAGAGGGGCGCCTGGGTGGCTCAGTCAGTTAAGCGTCTGCCTTCAGCTTAGGTTGTGATCCCAGGGTCCTGGGATCAAGCCCTGCATTGGGCTCCTTGCTTGGCAGGGAGTCTGCTTCTCCCTCTGCTGCTCCTCCTGCTTGTGCTCTCTCTCGCTCTCTCAGACGAATAAATAAAATCTTAAAAAAAATCCCGCCGAACCCCGAGGCAGTGGCATGGGGATGCCCCCTGGGCACATAGCCAGTCAGCCAAGCTGTGATGTGAACTCAGGCAGTCTGGGCACACTGCACCGGGGGCTGCTCGCGAATGAAAGCAAAAGGATCTGCAGAAGGGCCCCACAACCTCGCACCAGGATCCAATCTGCAGCCCAGGAACCAGGGAACAAAAGCACGGGTCCTTGACAGTTCCACACACTGAGCTCGGAGCATGCAATGTGGGGCGCCTACCAGCCTGGAGTAAGAGCCCCTGGGCTGCCCCACCTGCTCTGCACTCTGGGACCTTATGGCCCAGGGCAGCACACAACCTCCTGGGCCCTTTCTTCTGTGTGAAATAAGGGGACAGCCTGTACTTCTCCGGACCTCCCAGCTCCCAAAGGCTGCTCATCACTTTGGATGACAGTGTCCATCGGCCCCTCCTGCAGGGGTGCTCCTAGCCAGAAATCCTCCAAGCCTCCTCCCTGCCCCGTGTGCCGGGCAGGAGCCAGGCAGGTGCTGGGCCGGCGGGGCGGGAGACCCGAGGCTGGGCTCCAGTTCTGCTTGGCGGAGTGCTTGGCATCTCCTGCCTCATTCTTCCCATCTGATACATGGAAGGAATTCCACCAGCACGCCCCCACTTTATAAGCTTTTGGGGGAAGATTAGATGAGATGATGCATCTGAAAACCCTGTGGAGACCATGAGGCCCAGGACGTGTTCAAGAGTTTGGGCATGCGGTGTGCCTCTTAGCCTCTCCCTGCCGGCCTCTGAGGTGGGACAGGAGGTGCAGGGAGAGGACAGAGGCAGGGCTGGGCATCACCGCCCCTCCATCACCTGCCTCTGCCTGGTAGCAGACCCTTCCCGCGGGTGGAGGAAAGCAAGACAGCCGGTGCAAGTGCCTTTGGGAGGCCAGGGTGAGGTGCAGACACTGAGGAGGGCTGAGGAGGAGCTCGGACACAGGGTTTTCCTCCTGACACCCGCCCCTGGGCTCATTCCCAAGGCTTCCAAGGAAGAGCCTCAGGATGCTGGCCCTAAATAAGGCAACTCGGTCTCAAACACTGTAGTCCTGGAGGTGCTAGGTACCCGGCACAGGAAAGCAAGCTGCAAACTGCCCAAGGTAGAAGGCCTGCTGCCGAGGTTAGCGGCACAGGGGCACTGAGCCTGTGGGGACAGGGAGGGAGCAGCCAGCAGAGGTCAGAGCGGGAAGGCCGCGGAGCCTGGCTGAAGTCCGCAGCCAACAGGAGGCCGCTGAGCAGAGGCTGCTCAGCCCCAGGAAGGGCAGTGGTCACCTGAGAGCCCTGGAAATCCCCTGGGGGCAGTGGCACATCCGAATCCGGGTGCACCTGTGCATCTGTGGGTGGGTAACCCAGGCCCCGGGCCACAGGAGCTGACCTATGCCCCCCCCGCAGCAAGCCTCCACCCTCCTGGCTCTGCCTTTCCGTCCTCAACGTGTTCAGTCGTCCCTCCTCTTCTGCAACGCCTGCCAGACTGATGCACCCCTTCTTTCCACCCAGAAAGCTTCCACCACTCTTGGAGCTCGCTCACCTCACACAGCAAACACTTCCTTCTCGGTGTGTGTCCCCGGTTCTTTCGGACTAATGTCTCTGTGGCCATTCCGAAGCATTTTGCTAAAGTTTCCCCTCAGCATACGCCACACACAAGAGGTGACTGAGAGTTTATCACGTATCCTCACGTATTTATCACGTATCCTGAATGCTGGGCCCTGCAGGGGAAACCAAGAAGTCTAAGGCAAAGCCCCTGCCCTGAGCACCGGATAAGCCAGTTACTGGAAAGCGAACAGCATAAAGACACAGCCTCCTTGCCGTCCGGCGGGGCCGGGAGCTGCAGGGACTAGCAGAGAGAGCCCAACGCTGCGAGCGGGAGAGAGGTCAGACCGGATCAGCACTGGCTTCCTGGCAGAGGTGCAGTTTGAGCTGAACTGGAAGAAGCATCGGGGGCGAGGAAAGGGGAGGCAAGAAGGCATTCTGTGGACGCTGTCTATGAGCACAGTGTCACGCTTCTGTGTTGATCATCCGTGTAGCAGGTGAGGGGAACTTGATGAGGTGGTGGCCACTGGAAGGGCGAGAACACATAACTGTGCGAAGGACAGGAGGTCAGTCTTCGGGCGCAGAGCACTGGATTTCGTCTGTGACATGACCTGAGATCTAACTCTGGGTTTGCCACAGCTCTTCACATGTAAAACGAAGGACTGGGCAAAACAGCTCGAAGGTTCCACACTGTTCTAGAGCAAGGAGAGAAAGGACTAAGATGAGTCTAGGATTTTGAAGGACAGTCCCGGCAACAGGAGGTGAGAAGTCGGGAGAGGAAGCAGGTGTGGGGAGAAGGCTTCAGTTTTGAGTGAACAGAGGGGACCCCACCATGACCCTTCCTTCCACTGGGTTCTCAGTCACCCTGCCATCAGCTGACCCGGTCTGTCCTGCCCGTGCATCCGCAGAGCCCCTCCTCTGGGAGCATGACCCTGACGGTAGCAAGGTCAGAGCAAGGAGGAGGAACTAGCCTTTGCTCCAGGAGATTTGTCAGCTTCTCCTGTGGTGAATAAACACCCTGTCATCACCAGCACTGTCATCTAGAAGAGGGGCCAGTGCTGTTGAGTGCCCGAAGCCCAGGGTGGGATCCCCTAAATTGACAGTTAAGTTTCCATCACCCTAGGGTTAAGGGAAGCTTGAACAAGAAATTATTGAGAAATAAACTGAAATGTGGTTCCTCCATACCTGGGTTCCTGCACCCACATTCGTACCTGGTTCACAGGCAAACCTCCCAATGTGTGGTTT